GACAATGCTGTGACCTCTTGGGATCAAATGTGTTATCTCTGGAGATGTCATCAGAACTGAGAGAAAGTGATACCAATTGCAACATATAGTCAACACATTCGTTGCACTCTTCATCGATGGGTCCATTGGTCTCATCCGTGTCATCCACTTCTGGAGCGGGATATGTGTCCATCGAGTGATCACTAAATCATTTAGAAATGGCTTTTAATTACAATACAAACAAATCATTGATTGTTTCAAACAAATGCCGGAAAATCAGTCAAAAATCGTGTTTTCATTCATAAATCACATCACCTTTTGTTAGAGGATTAGTAGAACATTCACATACAGTATGTCAGTATATACTCAGTTTATTTTGTGCCCCTTTACTGCTGTAACATTGTTTCGCATTATTTATAGGTAACCCCTTTTTCTGTTAGCCCTCCAAACGCATAATAATTAGTTACAGTATTTGTTAAGAAATATATTGAATGTACAAAACGTAATGTTTGTATAGTTTTATGGTTTAATTAAAAAATGCTTTTTTAAAGATTTATCACAATTTGTGGTCATTTAATGATCAGTGATTTCAAGTGAAGACATTTGATTGGAGTGATACCACCAATTGAGTCGATGGCAGATAATGTGTTGATATTGAGGGGATCGAAAGGTCTGTCTTTAGTAAATGGAGACAATCCTTACAACGAGCTGAAGTCACTGATCGCTTCCAACACTGTGCGGGCCATCGATGTGTCCACTGATGGCAAATATCTGGCATTTGCTGACAACAACTCAGTCAAAGTGGTGACACTTCCCGGATGTGATGCTGTGTTTGAGAAAAGCGGTGTTAACTTGAATTTCATAAAGTTGTCGCCGAAGGGAACCATATTAGCGACTTGGCATCACTTGAGCACATCCAGCGCTCCCAACAATCTTAATCTCTACAATGTCTTCACGCAAACACATCTCATCGGTATGTGTGTTGACGTATTAGCCATGAATTGGGTGTCAATTATCTGAACATATGTTAGGAATGGCGCAGAAGAAGCCCAGCCGTTGGTGTCCGCACTGGACGGACGACGAGTCGGTTTGTGTCCGACATCTGAATATGGAATTGAATTTCTATTCAGACAATCACTTCGAGAGATACGGCCACCGGATGTGCTCACAAAAAGTGGCCAATTATTCAATGGTGACCAACAGTGGGACGGGCTGTCACTACGTGGCCTGTTATACGGTGGGAGTGAAAGGTCAGCCGAGTTTCGTACGGATCTATCAGTTCCCGCGCTTCGACGGCATAGCCATCGCCAACAAGAGCTTCTATAAAGCAGATAATGTCGACTTCAAGTGGAATGAAAAGGGTTGGCACTAATGGATCACTTGAACCACTGATCAGTTGTTTGAATCACTTTTGTCTCACTAATTGCTATTACAGGCGACGCTCTGCTGTTGATCTGTTCCACAGAAGTGGACCAAACGGGCAAAAGCTATTACGGACAGCAGACACTCCACTACCTGGACATCACGGGCCAGACATTCATAGTGAGCCTCAAAAAGGACGGACCCATTCATAACACTGCGTGGGTTCCCAAAAATAGTTCCCTCTTTTGCGTCATCTATGGCATTATGCCGCCGAAGACCTCTTTATTCAATAACAAGTCGGAAGTGGTGTTTGAATTCGGGGAAGACATGCAGAATATAATATCGTTCAACAGATTCGGTAATTTGGTAGCGCTGGCAGGTTTTGGCAATCTCAGGGGTGGCGTTAAGGTATGGGATGTCAAACAGAAAAAGCTTATCTCACACTTCAAAGCGCCCGACACTACACACATTGAGTGGTCTCCCGATGGCAGACACATCCTGACGGCCACAACAGCGCCCAGACTTCGTGTGGGAAATGGGTTTCGTGTTTGGAATTATAATGGGGTTCAGAATCACGAGATTATATTCGATACAAATACTGAATTGAATGAAATCCTGTGGCGGCCGTCACTTGAATTCAGTGAACCAGTCATTGAAGTTCAAAAGGGAGTCACTATTCCAAAGCCTCCCGAACCCAAGAAGTATATTCCCCCACATTTGAGAAAGACATCAACCAATCCATCAAATAAGACCCCAAATCCTAACCCTAATCCCAATCCCTTATCGGAAAGCGAGAAAAAGGTGAAAAATTTGGAGAAAAAGTTAAAACAAATAAATGAATTGAAAGAATTGATGGCTTCCGGTAAAGCACTCGAGAAGAATCAGATGCAGAAAATTAGTAAAGAACAGGAACTGCTCGATGAACTCCAAGAATTGCGGATCAATTCATAATTCATAACTATTGGTAATTGTTTAGTGGTTTTTTATTAAATTATTGTTAAATGCATTAAATTTAAATGTGAATTTTATTCTCGTATTTAACATGAAATCTAAATAAACAAAAAATTTGACATTAAAATAAAGAATTTGTTGTGAATTATCTGTATTACAGATTCTGTAAAACCTTGAAAACACAAAAAAAATCTGCTTTTTATGTAATATAATTGCTTTTATAACTCGATTTAATATTTTTTATTATTTGTGTTCAAACGGGTGCCTAATTATAGATAATTAGAATGGATTCTAAGTTTTATAAATTTTGTTGCAAAATCATTGGTAGTATAATAGCCGCACATAACCATAAGTATGTGTTATATTGTGTGAAGTTGTGGATTGAATGGCATAAAAACAATTGGTTCGCAAATAGACTAGATCATTAGATGAACTATTTTTGTTTTGTGTTTAGAATTTGTTCAATAATTCATAAAAAGCATGAGTTGTTGTATTAAGTGTGGGCTCAGTAAATGGCAAAACGTAATGTCAACATAAATGTTAATATTAATGTCAGCAAACAAAATTCAATATACGCTCTAATTGTTTATTGAGATTACTTTGATTGAGTGTATTAGTTGGGAATAAACAAAAGTTCATTAATAGTAAGTTATATCAAGGGAACCGATCGATAAATTTAAAGGAGACATATATTTAGCACTTATTTTGCTTATATTCTAACAAATTCTTAAAAAACAGAATAACCTTTTAGTTTATACAGTAAAAGACTTTTTATGTACCGTAAAAAGGCATCAAACAAAATATGAATGCATTTTTGACTGAACATTTTTGGGTTGAGTTTTGATATAAAATAAAATAACATTTTCTGAACTGAAAATACATTTTCAGTAAAAGACTTTTTATGTACCGTAAAAAGGCATCAAACAAAATATGAATGCATTTTTGACTGAACATTTTTGGGTTGAGTTTTGATATAAAATAAAATAACATTTTCTGAACTGAAAATACATTTTCTTGACTAGTCTTAAGCGTGCAAAACATAAATATACGAAATATACGAGCGATTAGATAGAGAAGAGCTAAAGGAGTGAAGGAAGAGTTGAGAAAGAGTTTTGTTAAACATATCATACATTTTGGCATTAATGAGGTTTCGGTATTAATAGGAGAGCAATGAATTGCTTGAGATTATGGAAGAGTGGGAAAAAAGTGCAGCAAAAAGAGGATCATTTGTTCATCAGTAGTGTACGGTTGCAGCGATGTTGCAGTAGTTATAGTCAGTGTACGGATCAATAGAAATAGAAAATTGAAGAACATTAGGGAAACTGTTGTCAGCCGTGGCTCTCAGGGCATGCGTTGCCTCTTATATAATATCACATCCTCTCAAAGATACCAATGTAATGCCAGTAATACTGGCCATCACTTTGAACACAATCACGACTTGGTTGTGGTGATGGCTGTGTCTGCAGTGACACTATTGAGGCTGTGATGGTATACTATATGTCGTTTAGTTATCATTAATGTTCTCCAGACTAACAAATAATAATAGTCTGGATTTGGCATAAGATTGCAAATTCTGGACAAAACACTATTCCAGTCATTCATTCAATGCCTCATTTCAACAATTGTCTCAATTTGAATGTGAGTCAACTCTTGCCACATATACTGTCCTATATGTTTGTCGGAGGCATAAGATTGCAAATTCTGGACAAAACACTATTCCAGTCATTCATTCAATGCCTCATTTCAACAATTGTCTCAATTTGAATGTGAGTCAACTCTTGCCACATATACTGTCCTATATGTTTGTCGGCCACAAAGTAACTGATCCCAAGCGACACGAGTCCGAAACTGACGTAACTGATCCCAAAAGAGTGACCGAAAAAGAATTAACTCATTTGAACCATAAGATTGTAAGTCATATCTCTATTTCTCTATTTCTTTATTCATATTCTCATAAATATAAGTTTCGTTTCATTTATTATTACAATTATTGTTATTATTATTATTATCGTAATTCCACTTTTGTATATAATTTAAAGCATTCATGACATGATAATTACAAATAATGAATTAATAATTATTTTATCAACTCTATTTTATTAAAGCTATCTGTATTTGAGTGCTTTGTAATTGTATTCATACAAAAAATCATTCGTTACCTATATTATAGGTTTTGACACTTTAAGCTCAAGTTGAATCCTTTTAAAAAATAATTGCATTTATAATTATTATATTTTAATTAAATGCACTGATGCTTTTATAACTCACATTTAATGTATATTTGAAATTTATAGCATTTATAGGAATAATTTTACCTGAGTATTTTATAGACTATTTCTAATTTTAATTTTATATTGAATATGAGATATAATACTAAAATGCATTCTAGTTTTGAGGTAAATTAGTTACTAAATTGAGTAAATAACTGGCTGACTTTGTGAAAATGAGATTCTCTTTGATGAAAATGTTAATATAAGTTGACATGTGCTTAGACTGCAATTTATTTGCACTGATTGTCACATTTGGGAGAAAACAATTGATCAAACTCTTAAATTGATGAGTATTTACTGATTAACTGTTGGATAAGATTTAAAATATTGATTGAAAATTTAATGTATTAATCCGATATATTGTGTAATATGTACTTTGATTTGTTTGAACAAAGAACAATATTCAGAAACATTTTTATTATACCTATCAATATGGTACAGCAAAATGATTAATTATGTCATTTAATAAAACAATAAAACGTGAGTTTACCTGTTGATCGGTTTATATATATATTCTTTATTTACTCAAGAATTATATGTATTACATGCGATAACTGAGTTAACAATAGTTTTGCTGCTCTATACTATATATTACAGAATATTATGTATAGTAAAGTACATTATAATAAATTGATATACAAGTAATAAAATATTTGAGCCAAGTATAGGACAACAGTAAAGAATAGTTAAAATCGATTGAATCTAATGGATAAATTCCGGCTAACAAAATGTATATAAAATTCCTGTAAAGTATTTATGAATTACACAACAAGTCATTCCAAAGCATTTGAATGACACTATTATTAGGTATAACTAATGATTATTAATGAGACTTTAATTCAATAATATTATAAAAGACTTAATACTTTAGATGCAATCAATGTTGGGTGGAGTGGTAGTGCTCTCACTATACTGTATAACACTTGATATTCTCATAAGTTATAGAATTTGAGAATTTAATATAACGTTATATTCAGTATATCCAACAAAATACTATAATATGAACTCAAATATATATCAATATAATACTTATTATTTTCAATTTCACGGATTCTGATTTCAAAAGAATTTTATTCAACTAAATTTAAAATACAGTATGTTTTATGTTTTAGATTTATTTCAGAATCTATACATTGGAAAATATTATATAAGTTATAACGGTAGTGGACTTTGTTTTATATAAACTTAGGTGTAGGAAAAAACACTATTATATTCATATATTCTGAAAAAGTGAACAATGGCTGGATTTATGATTATAAAAATTGTTATATTATGAAAGTGTAGCCAAAATTTCTTTATGCCATAAGATTTAGATTATAAAATGAAAAATTAATTTTTATGGAAGATTAATGATTGTATTCAAGTATTGTATTCGCTTTAAAGTCTTGAAATTGAGATTCAATTTAAAATTCTGGTCAGACATTTATGCCATAAGATTTAGATTATAAAATGAAAAATTAATTTTTATGGAAGATTAATGATTGTATTCAAGTATTGTATTCGCTTTAAAGTCTTGAGATTTAGATTCAATTTAAAATTCTGGTCAGACTTTGCATCACAAACCGATCGATAACAGAAGCGATCAAATGGACATCACTTTAGATATAAAATAAATGCAATATATTTGTTGAATTAATAACAAGTTTGCAATATTGCATTATTCTGAACACAATAAAAGGTATGCTTGCTTAGATGAAATAGAAATCTACAATTGTTTAAAATATGTTAACTAAAACTATAAAAAATTCAGCATTATTTAATTTTTTGAATTCTCAATAAAAATCATCTAAATGTCAAAAAATATATAATTTAAAAAAAGGATTTTAATAAAAACACAAATTAAACAAAATACTCTAACATTTGATCAAAATTTGAATCTATATATTTTTATATTTTATGAATTTTAATACAAATTGAGTCAATTATATCAGAAGGGATGACAGTTTTTGTTTATTCACTTAATTATCAGTTTTATTTACTGAGTCTGTTGTTGAATAGAACATGTTGTTAATATCTATGACAAATTAAACAATTAATATTTAACATAGTTCTATGCATGCTGTGCTATACAACTACTTAAAATGATATATTTAGAAAATCAAATATTGTATATTGTTTAAATTTCCTATAATACTGTATAAACTGTAAGTTATTGTGATATTTTCTCTTTCCTTTATTTTTTTATTTTCTAAACGAAGCATTTTGTAGACTGAGAGAGAGAGAGAGAGAGAGAGAGAGAGAGAGAGA